TCATCATCATTGGTAGTGATCGGTTTGATGGTTTCCAACATTGCACGTTTCAGATACCGATATATGGCAGACAATTCGTACGATCCTTCAGGGATTATAATTCTTTTGTCGTCCTCATCAAAGTAAAATTTATTATTCGATATATTTACATTCGGTATCGTGTTATAGGTTTCAAAGGCTGTCAAACCAAGTTCGTAATTGCCATCGCTCGGATCTATGCCTGGAAAGTAGCTTCCCGCGAAAGTGCTGCTCTTGCTGGTGAGTGTAAATGTCAGCGACATCTTCGTCAGAGACCAAAACGATTACTGGACACTGTTCGCAGAACGTTGGGCCTTAAATCGGCTGTCAACTGTCTGCAGGAAACGTAGACACAGTTGTCCGCAAATGCTCTGATCGTAATGTTGATAAGATGTACGATTGTACTCAATCGTATTATTATCGAGATATCGCACCAATTCGCTGGGTGGTCGAAGATTGCCAAAATTATCGAAATATATCACGCGATCGCCTCTTTTCGCGTACGCTACCCAATGAGTACCGGGCCCCTCGACGTCATCCAAATTTACGATTCCGCTCTCGTTTACGCGTGGCGATGTAGGCGCAATGTAGTACGTCGCGCATGAAAACGCCCCTAAAGAACGGAATACGCCTACGTTTCGCCAATTGTTCCAATTGTACATTAGTGGTGACACCCGTAGGCATTTTTAGTATTTTTCGAAGTTTTTTTTTCCTCTTATGACACCTTTTCCTCGTTTGTATGGTGCGAGATAAATTCCACGACCTTCCATGCTGCGATTATGACGTTGCATCTCCTGCAGCTGACGCTACGCAGCCTTGGTATCGTTTGCAGCCTTTGCGATCCCCGCCGCTCCACCAACTAGCGATCCAAGCGCTCCCAGCAGCGGGAAAATAGATAGAATTCCACCTCGTTTTGCTATTGGAAGTATTCGATTTCGTAATATTTCCTTCTTCGACGCGTTTCGCTTCTTTTTCATGCCCACTCCGATTTTTGTCTTAGCCTTCATAGCTGCCCAAACAGCTGTAGCGGCAGCTCTCTCACCGAGAGTGGAATCTCGCGACTATACGTTCTCGCGCCTTGTCAGCGAGTACGTTATCTGCCACGTGACGTTCGACGAGATCGTTGCTTCGAGAATGCGCGATATCGTGCTCGCGACACGCCGCATCCAGCGGATTGATACCCCGATCACGTCTGGCCAATCGTGTTCGCAAGCGTGTACCCGGCCCGCAAAACTGATAGCCGGGGATATGCAGTTCGATAGGAAGCGCGTTAATGACACGACAATAACGTTAATAACAGACTGTTGCCGATTTTTACTGTTTTCGACGACGCTGACATTCAGCATAGTCTCTAATCAACGGCGCTGGACCGTCGATGTGCGTTTGCTGCCACGGACGATTATAATGTTCCAGGCACCGACGATACTGTCGAACCTCCGAGTCGGCCCTTATATGTTCCGGGATTGTGTCCCACAAAACGTCAATGTGCTTCGAAAACTCGCGCAATAGAACAATCTTTGGTATATATTTGTATAACTGTTCGGAGGTTAGTTAGTGTGAAGCCCGACACCCATAGGGTGCCGCGCTTTGCTCCCTCAGCCGTGAAGGCTATACGCAACTTGCTACTATCTACCTCTACCGTTTGTCAACCACTGACAGGGGAAGGGCGATGGAAAAATCCAGCAGCGCCTGCGGGACGTGTTCGCAGGGTGAGCGGTTTAGCCGTGACGCGCGCGCCGCCTGCCGTAGTGGCTGCAGCGCACGCCCCACGCCCACGGGGACCACGGGGAGGCCCGCTCACTTGTGTCTCGCCCAGACACACGCTCTGACCCTTTGGATGGGAGAGGAAGGGAAGAGGGATGGGTATTAGGTTTAGGTGATGGGAGTGAGGGAGGTGAGGTGAGAACCTGAAAATAAATTAAAGTATTAGTTGTTTCGTACCTCAGCGACCCGGGTCCACGGTGATCTCGCGAAGGTTGCGAGGCCGTTTACCCATGCCCGAGGGCTCCGACATCCCTCGGGTAGGCCGCTGTGAAATCTAATATGGACCCTTTAGAAAGAGGGTTTCACGACAGAAGGCCGCGAAGATGGAGTAGGCCTCTGGAGTCGACACGAAGTAGTGTGCCGCCTCCGGCCACCTCCAGCTCGCGGCCGGAACGACCTCCC